TCATCATCATCATCATCATCGTCATCGACAGCATCATCATCACCAGCAGCATAATCATCAGCATCATCATCAGCATCATCATCATGATCATCATCATCAGCAGCATCATCAACATCATCATCAGCATCATCATCACCATCATCATCGTCATCGGCAGCATCATCATCCTCAGCAGCATAATCATAAGCATCATCATCATCAGCAGCAGCAACATCGTCAACATCAGCAGCAGCAACATCATTATCATCATCATTAAAATCAGCATCATCAATATCATCAGCATCGGCATCATCATCATTATCATCATCAGCGTCATCGTAATCATCAGCAACAGCCGCATCTGGATCATCAGCATGATCAGCATCATCATCATCATGATCGTCATCAGCATCATCAGCATCATCATCCTCATCATCAACATCTTCAGCAGCAGCATGATCATCCGCATTATCATCATGCATCATCATCAGCATCATCAGTATCATCATCATCATCATCATCATCATCATCATCATCATCATCATCATCATCATCCTACTCGTCCCTGTCGAACCCCGAAGCCAGTCGGAAGGGCAGGCCGAGCAGTTCGCCTGAGATCTCCTTACCACTTTTGACATTGAGGCTTAAGAGCTGGCAACTGATTCACAAATGGAGGGCGGGTGGTTTCTCAACTGTGGCTATCGCCATAGCACCGAGCCCACTCGTCTTGACAATTTGCAAGAGCTTCACGGATGTAGGACAGGGCATTTTCAAAATGCAATTGCCGCCTTAGCGCCGCGTACACTATTGAAAGCAAGAATGTCACGGCTTGAGGGCGGCTGATATTCAGAATGTGGCTATCGACTTTGCGCCGCGCACACACGTTGCTTATAATTACAAGGAGGTGAACGGATCGTTCTCAAACTGTGGCTCTCGCATTAGCGCCGCGTACACTCGCCGTCAAAAAGTATGCAAGCGTTTTACGGATTGGGGGCAGTTCCTTTCCAACGTGGTTCTCGCCTTAGCGCCGCGCACACTCGTCTGAAATACATGCAAGAGTATCGCAGATGTGCATGGCCAATGCACAAAACATTAAATACTGGAATGATTCAGGATCGTCGAAACACAGCAGTTACGTTGATTCGCGGTGCGGAACCCCCAGAAATGGTGTTCTAGCACGATTCGGGACCGTCAAGACGCAACAGTCAGGAAGATTCGTGGCGTTGGAGTCCAAACAATGGCGCTTTGGCACGCTTCAGGATTTAAATTCGGTTGTCCCCCAACGGGGCCCTTTTCCGTGAGCGGAAATGAAGCCTTGTGGGGGCCTATGAAAAGGACGCTTGGAGGACTTATCCAAACAGAGCTGACAATTCGTTGGGTTACTCTGGCTTTCCTCATCCTACACCCCCTCTTCTTCCTACTCCTAATCCTCCTCTTCAGACTCGTCATCATCATCGTCATCAGCAGCAGCATCATCATCATCAGCATCATCAGCATCGACATCATAATAATAATAATAATCATCATCATCATCAGCATCATCATCATCAGGATTGTCATCATCCTAAACCTTCTCCTCCGCCTCCTCCTCCTCCTCCACATCATCCTCCTCTCACTCATTCTCCTCCGCCTATTCCTCATCCTCCTCCTCCTCCTGCTCCCCCTCCTCATCTTCCTCCTCCTCCTGCTGCTCCTCCTCCTGCTCCTCCTCCTCCTCCTCCTCCTCTGCTTCCTCATCCTCACGTCTTGCCGCTTCCTGCTACAATTCCTGATGCTACTCACATGATCACGTTTCCAAAAAATTAGATGTCCATAGCGAATCAAGACACGGATGCCTCGACACCATTGCGCAACTTGCAGCATCACAGAAGACTTCAAGAAGTGAACCTTTCTCGGAGAGATCTCTGCTCAGGTGTTTCGGCGTCAACGAACTCCTTGAAGAGCAACGCCCCACCGTACGCATTACCAGCAAAGAAAAATATATTAATCCCAGGCACCATTAGCAAGCTGAGCGCTATTGTTCCATAGGCCACGTACGTTAAGAAATTACGTATGACGTGTCCGAACTGTTGATCAAACTTGTTCAGGCCAATGAGAACCAGCTGCTTGTCAACGAGGTGCCACGCATAGAGCCAGCCATTGAGTAAGACAACGAACAACTGGCCTATCCCCGGCGCTGCCGCGAATAAGAGCGTTGCCCCCATCAAAGCACAACGCGCGATCAGAAACCAAACCTTATGTTTATACTTCTCCCTCCGCGCCAAAACAGGAAGCGTATCGCGCCCATACTCCGCGCGAAGAATTTCGAGCACACCAATATCCTCCAGTGCTGTCTGAATGATGAATTCTTGCATGCTGGTGCAGAAACTGATGGCCTCGAAGAGGACAACGCATGCTAGCAAGTAGCCGCCGATCAAGAGTGGAGCTGCCCAAAATAACGGCAGTGTAATCATCATCAAGACCGCGGTGGCGGCCGTCAATACCACCATGCCGAGCACAAAAGGCCTTACAAGCCGGCCCCACAACTTCGGCCCGCTCCCCGCAAAACGAATGAGCCCAGCCACTGGCAGGAATGCTGCCATTAAACCTGTCGATCCCATTGCTGCACACAGCTGTCGCACAATGACTCTAAGAGTGAAGTTACGGCGTTTTCACCTGATGGCGCAGGAGTCTACGCAAATTGGCACCGGACAAAAAGAATTAACCTTGAGCCAGAATAACTTGAGCCAACAAAGCTGAAGGAAATAATCATCCCAGTGCGACCCTACCTAGGAGTTGGAGCCCCTAGGAAAGCAGCATCAGTAGTAACAGTAAAGCTAAACTAGCTAAGCTAAAGCTAAGCTAAAGCTAAGCTAAAGCTAAGCTAAAGCTAAGCTAAAGCTAAGCTAAAGCTAAGCTAACTAAGCTAAGCTAAGCTAGCTAAGCTAAAGCTAAGCTAAGCTAAGCTAAGCTAAAGCTAAGCTAAAGCTAAGCTAAAGCTAAGCTAAGCTAAGCTAAAGCTAAGCTAAAGCTAAGCTAAAGCTAAGCTAAAGCTAAGCTAAAGCTAAGCTAAACTAAGCTAAAGCTAAGCTAACACTAAGCTGAAGCTAAGCTAAAGCTAAGCTAAAGCTAAGCTAAAGCTAAGCTAAAGCTAAGCTAAGCTAAGCTAAGCTAAAGCTAAGCTAAAGCTAAGCTAAAGCTAAGCTAAAGCTCTAAGCTAAAAAGCTAAGCTAAAGCTAAGCTAAGCTAAGCTAAAGCTAAGCTAAAGCTAACACTAAGCTGAAGCTAAGCTAAAGCTAAGCTAAAGCTAAGCTAAGCTAAAGCTAAGCTAAGCTAAGCTAAAGCTATCACTAAGCTAAAGCTAAGCTAAAGCTAAGTTGAAGCTAAGCTAATGCTAAGCTAAAGCTAAGCTAAAGCTAAGCTAAAGCTAAGCTAAGCTGAAGCTAAGCTAAAGCTAAGCTAAAGCTAAGCTAAAGCTAAGCTAAGCTAAAGCTAAAGCAAGCTAAAGCTAAAGCTAAAGCTAAAGCTAAAGCTAAAGCTAAGCTAAAGCTAAAGCTAAGGCTAAAGCTCCCAGGGGACTGGGGGAACCGCGGGGCGGGGACTGGGGGAACCGCCCGAGGCGGTTTCCATTGCCCGGCCCCTTTAGCTAACAGAGTAAGAACCCTTCTAGGCAGAGCCTAAGTAGGGAAAAAACATGAATGGTGATAATGGTGCTCGCAGATAATGCTGATGTAAATAACGACGGTGATCGCGGTTTCGTTGCTGTGATAATTCTAATCGTCCACATCCTCGTCCTGATATTTCTCCTCCACATGCTCCTCCTCCTCCTCATCATCATCATCATCAACATCATCATCATCATCATCATCATCATCATCATCATCATCATCATCATAATCATCATCATCATCATCATCATCATCATCATCATCATCATCATCATCATCATCATCATCATCGACCTCCTCCTCCTCCCCCTCCTTTCCATGTTGTTAAACTTCGTCTTCCCATTCCTATTCGTCCTCGTTATACCCCTCACTTACAGCATGCACCCTGCACTTTAAACGGTGGGGGTCACCCCCTGGTGCCACTGCTTTGCGACTGGGGGACGTCATGCGGAACCGCTTCGCGGGGGCAAATTCAAGGAAGCCAACACGATCAGGGACAAGAGGAGGAGAAACCAGGAGGAGGAGGAGGAGACAATCAGGAGAAAACAACCAGGAGGAGGAGAACCAGGAGGAGGAGGAGGAGAACCAGAAGGAAAACCAGGAGGAGGAGGAGAAACCAGGAGGAGGAGAAACCAGGAGAGGGAGAAACCAGAGGGACAACACAAGGATGAGGAGGAGAACCAGGGGAACGACGAGGCGAGGCGGAAGGAGGACCAGCACCAGGCAACAGCAGCGCTGGCAGCGGCGGCAAGAGCAGGACGCCGGCAATGACGACCCACGACGAGCACGAGCCAGAGGGAAGGCTGAACAACAAAAAGAGCGGGCGCGGCCCTGGAATAGAACAACATCGCCATCTTATGACCGTTGTGATTTGTTCGAAACGTTGGGTTTTCTGGGCTCGGGGGGGTCAAAACCGACCCCTGGACATCTGAAAAACACGTTTCGCTTCGAGGGCACAATACGAGCAAGCCGTGGCGACGAGGAGCCCCAGAAGCCCTGAATTGGCCAATGATTTCCAGCCCGGAACTCAAACAGCGGGTCATTGCATTGTCGCCGCGCACTGCATGCGGTGCATATGTGGAATGCTGCATGTGGTATGTGTTGAACGGCGCAATTCAGTTCGGCAGTCTTGAAGTCGCTGACCCCCCCGGTCGCACAAACATCCCACCTAACCACCCACAGGCTGCTTGGCAGAACTTATTCGGCCACGCTCCCAATTCCCAATTGGAACATGCCACAACGTTTCTACGGCCGCGCGGGCGCGCGCGGTCACGTGCAGAGCGACCAGTTGGCTGGACACAACTGATACGGCTGCAACGGGGCGTACCCATGGGAAGTTCCCAACCCGTCTCCAAGGCCGTACTGGCACGCACTGGCCACGATGACGATGATGTCCATGTGTCGGTTGTGAAGGTGATTGTGGTGAAGATAGTTATGATAAGGATAGCGGTGATGATGACGATTAGTGGTGATGACGATGATGTTGGCGGCAATGACGCCGATTGACGAAGACGATCGACGGGGCAATGCTTGAAGGCAAAGAGAAAGCGCGCGCAACAGCTCAATAAATCTGGGTGGCTTGATGTGAAAAAGAATCAGAAGAAGAGTATATATATATACATAAGACGGAAAAAAAGAAACAAACAAACAAAAAAACATATACATATATATGGGAAGAGAAAAAGAGAGATATCAAAAAAAAAAAAAAAAAAAAAAAAAAAAAAAAAAAAGTTCAGTTGCGTTTGCAGAAGGATATGGACACGCGCGCGCGGCTGCGCGCACATTTGGCTCGCAAGGTAATCTGTGATAAGGATTCGCGCACTGGGCGCATGCTGGATCAACGCGGATGCACCGCGTGGTGCTATGAACATGCGGGCTCTGGACGAGATTGGTACAATCATACGGATTCTTTTGGTTTCTGCAAGCCCGCGCCAAAGATATCTGCAAGACTAGTGATAATGCTTGTGCGTGCTACCAGATGCGTACAACACGATCGTGCTTGGCATGGTTCCGGGATGTGCGCGCACGTGGATTTCGCGGCTTCGTTTGCAAGGAGCTCTGGGAAGTCTGCTGGGCGCCCTGGATACACAGGCCGGGGCGCATCGGGAACTTGGTCGCGTCGGGTAGCTAACCCGACCTTGAGCGCGCGTGGCCGCCATGCCACGGAGAAGCCTCCATCCCCCCCCCCCTGGCCCCGCATTCTCCGTCCTCAGTCCATTCAGTGCACACTCGTACACCTAGCTGATGGAATCTGCGTGTCTAAGACTGCTGGTCATCTGGAAGCCAGGGGGGGGCTGCTGCGGGTTCCGCCACCTTGGCCTCGCAGTCTTGGGGGGGTCGAGTCAGGCGCCCACCCCGTCACCTTCGTTTTCCCGAACGGTACAAAAGCCGTTCCGCGTACATGAAGGGCGCCCTAGATCTACAACCCAGGACGCCTCGAGGACTCCGTCGGGCGAGGTAGCTCCCCGACCTCGCGCGCGCGCGGCCGCATTGCCACAGAAAGAGCCCCCATGTTTTCCTTTCCCGTCGCCTCGCATTATCCTCGATCTGTCCGCTCAGTGCACACGCGAACTCGTAATTTGAGGAGTCCGCGTTTCTAAAACTGCCGGGCCTGTGGAAGCGGGGGGCGGGCAGTTCTGGGCTCCGCAACTTTGGCCTCGCAGTCTTGCGAGGGCCGAGTCAGGCGCCCCCCCCCACGCCCCCCCCCACCCACCCAGGATCGCTTTCCCGAGAAGCTGCCAAGCCGCTCCGCGTGACTGAAGGACGCCGCAGATCTACAGACAGGGGCGCCTCGAGACTTGGTCGGCTGAAGTACCTCACTAGACCTGTTTTGCGCGTGACCCCCTTGCCACGGAGAGGTCTCCATCCTTCACCTCATCGCAGCCTGTCCTTCTCCCACCTCTGTCCATTCATCGCACACGCCCGCGCAAAATCAACGCAAAACGGTGTCTAGGAGCGGTCGGGGAATATTCTTGCGGGCGCGGTAGGTGGCCACCTTGGCCAACTGCCCGCGGTGAACCAACACGTCTAACCTGCGAACACATGCTGCTATACTCCTGACATACCAGAGGAAGAGGTGACCGACCGTTCGACCCTGGTGCTCAATCAGGTCCGACACACCTCGTCGGAAGCCTGGACTCCAACCGCCCAGGCCACCACCGAGACCCGACAGACCGGCCACGCAAAACAATACAGCGCGGAACAGGAAAAGGAAGGGGTTCTACTAACCACCCCTCTCATGAAAGTTGCCCTGCACAGAGGGCCTTCTGCTAACCAAGCTCATTTTTTATTATAAAAAAATGCGGGCGCGACCGACAGGAAAGGCTGACAGCAAAGCATTGGCGGAGCATAGAGCAGATGATCAGTGCTCAACGCGCAAGGGCCTGCTGCCCCACGAACAGATTGCATGGAGACAGCCGCTCATGGGCGTGACCCACTACATCGCATTCGCGATCATTGTGCGTGATACGCGGGTCCCCCTCCTTCTTCTCTCCCTGAAGAACTGCGTCGCATTCGCGAAAGCAGTTCGCGAAATGAGCGTCGGTCGGCGCATTCACGAACACAGCTTGGACATGCGACGCCAAGTTGATCACCCGCCATCGCTGTCCTTGTTCAATTCGCTGTAGCTGCAGCTCGGCACTGTCTTCTTAAGTCGCTCCTCGCTTAACCTCACCGTGGGATGCACGTAGTCGAGCTCCCCTGCCATGCTGTCGAATTTGAGCTCCCGCCCGATGCTCCCCTTCGTCTTGGGGTCCGCCCTCATGCAACGGGCGTCGCACACCAGCATGTCGGATAGCTGTTATGTGCGCAGCCGGTCTGATAGCCACCACAGATGGCCTGCCATGCCGCTCTCTGAGGGCGGCCGCACGTGGTCAATGGCCAGCGCGGAGGAGACGGACATGCCGTCCACAACCAGCTCGGCCTGCACAGCGCAAGCCTCCAACTCCCTCAGCCCCCCGATCTCATCTGCTGATGCGGCTCCGAACACCATCTCGAGGAGCGCGAGTAGGCACGCCCGTCGACCGTCTGCTGGCCCACACGCAGCGCACAGCTCGGAGCCAGATCAGGATCTACACAAGTTTGCGTGATC